CCTCTGTGCTCAGAGCTTAGATGGGAAATGAAGAGGGTTTCTGGAACATGTTTGGCAATCACATCTGACTTTTCCATTGAGACCCAAACACTGAGAAAATCTTATGGCTCGTGCCAGTTGGCCATCCTGTCAGTGCTCTCCCAATGCTCAGGCCCTGCACGCTGCTGGCAGTGGGAGCTGCCCTCCCACTTGGAAAACTACGCCTGAAAAAATACTGCACACACTGAATACTGATGCTCTTGCTTGATTCATGGGACTGAGATGACAGGACGTCCTTGATGATGGCTGTGGATGATTTCATAATTTCATTTAAATAAACTGTAATTCAAGTCTTCACCTGGGAAAGGGGATTGATGTGTCAAAAGGCAAAGCCTCTGGCATATTAAAGCAAACTGTGACCCAACAGGGTGGACTCCCCTCTTCCCACCCAGGTTGCTAGAAGTAACTATGGTTCTATGGGAACATTTTCCCAAAAGGAGTGATGGAATGTTGGGAAGTGCTGAATAAACGGAGGAAGGCAGTCGGGGCTTTTTCATCCTTGGCTCATGAGTCCTAAGTTACAGTAATGATGTCAGACCTTTAATGGGGTACTATGAGGCACTGGATATCCTTAAGCCATTTACGTTCCAGTATGTTCTCTGCAACATACTCGGCAGGCATGGCTGACCTAATGTGAATGACTTTGGCTGGTTATGATCGGAAACAAGTCAGCTCACTGATAGCTGTCTCTGGGGGAAATGAGAAAATGACAGGATTCCAGAAGGCTATTGTGCCTTCAGTTCCAAGAAGAGTTGGGTGGAGCAGGAAATGGGAACATATGTGCTACTCATTGACTTGTATCATATGGCAAATTGTCCCCATCTGGAGGTTGTGACCCCTCTTATGTTCAGAAGTGCCCCCAGGCAGTTGTGGAGACAGATGTGTCCTTTCCTCATCTCTAGTCCCCTGACCTTGGGGTGTGCGGCTCCTTCTCTGAATCCTCTCTGGTTTGACGGATGCTTCTCAGACCAGCTGTCTCATTCTTCCTCAAGCAGTCCTGTTCCAGGCACTTCTTCCTTGAGTGGCGCTGAGCTTGGCCACATGGAGCTCTTGTTGGTTGGTAGGGCCAGGAAGAAAGAGGGTGAAGGGGCCTCAGAGGACATCACCTTGAGATGTGCTGAGACAATAGAGTTAGCCTGTCACAGGATTCTTTTAATGTTCTCTTTGTGTGTCTAAATATGTCCGCATGTTTGTGGTATATTTTTTGGTTCAGTACAACTTCTTAAATTTGGAAATTTTCCTGCAGGAAAGAACTCTATTTTTGGTCTTCTGTCTAAATGTTTTTAATTCAAGTTGAACCATAGAGGAGTTTGACTCATGAAGCTTTCTTCTCTTTTTGTCTGTGGGATGGCTAGTCTCTGCTGGGCCCTACAGCCGCCAGGCACACCAATCTGAGCCCCCGTTTGGATGGATCACAGAGGACCTGCCCCACAATCACCCTTTCTGCAGGCCAGCCAGGGGCACTCGGCCACAACTGAACAACCAGAAGGTCTTTTATAGTCAGGCGGGGGAAGCAGCTGCTGCTGGCAATCTGAGCTCCTCCCATATTCCCTGTATTGACCTTGTACAGAGGCTAAGAACTCTGAGAGGAAACTGGTGACAACTGCCCTTCCCCACTGAACCCCAACTCAGCACCTCCAAGCCACATCACTCAAAAGCACTCGAAGAATAAACATGGGGCTTCAGGAGCTCTCAAGGACATTTCTCCCTTCTTTGTTTCTGGAATACAGTAGGATGAGTCTTTGTCTCTCTGGGACTGTCTGATCTGACAGACTCATTAGCACCCTCCAATCACAGTAGGATATGGAGGTTTTAAATCCATGCTGACACTAATTGTCCTTCTATCCATAACTGGAAGCATCTTTCTTGGCATAGGATGTGAGGCCTTCACTCTGAGCTCTCCTTATCTTCTCTCCAAAGTTACTGCTCATGGTGCCTGGCACAGTTTCACCCCAGGGTGGCAACATCAAGAGTTGACCTCGGCACATAAAACTCTCTGAGGAAAATGACCAACCTTGAAGCTACAGCCTCTGCTTCAGGCCCTGCCTTGGTTTCCTGTGCTGATGTACAGCCTCCTATTTCCATTGCACCAGCAACAGTCTGCCCTCTTCAGCTCACTAGTCTCAGCAGTGACAGGTTCTTTTAAATAAAGTGGAGTCTGGCAGCTGTGCCTGAGTCTTTTTTGTTTCTAATCACTTTTTACAATCAGATTCTTTAAACATATATAAAAGTGGTGAGAACAGCATAATGAACCCTCTTACCCATCATGCAGCTTCAGTAACTGTCCACATACTGCCAATCCTGTTTCTCTTACGCTCCTACTCTGCGTTGCCACTGACATGGATTATTTTAAAGTGAATCCCAACACTACTTCCTAAGTCCTTCAGAAAGTATCTCTAAGAGATAAGGGATTTTTTTTTAATAAACATAACCACAGTTCTATTAGCATAGCCAAACCCAATTATTCCTTAACATGATCAAATATCCAGTGTTCTAACTTTCCTGATGGTCTCATTTGTTCTTTGTTTACATTTGTTATTTCTGTATCTGGGATCCAAGCAAAGTCTGCATGTTACATTTGTTGCTATATTTTCAAGTCCTCTAAATGAATTATCCAGCTCAAAGTGTCAATAGTGCTGCTGCTGTGGTGAGAAACCCTGTTGTTGCTGTCACTGAACAATCTGTCCTGCTAGTTCCTGTAAAATAATAGACAGCAGTGCAGTCTATCTATTCACATTCAGAGTTTTGGTGAGAATATCTATCTCATGGGGGGCCTCCCTAGTGGCACAGGTGGTTGAGCGCAGCGCGGTGAAGCTGTCTGCAGCCTCTGCGGTGCCAGTTTGCTCCCCACCGGCCTCGGAGCAACCCACGTGGTGAACAGACTTCTTCTGTCTACGCTCAGCAGTGTATTTCGTCAGTCTTCCTGTTCTGTTCCCTACTCTATCTCTGGTGAATCCTCTCACCCTCCTGTGCATCTGGCCTATACCCTGGTTCTTGTATAAATAAAATAATCTTTAAAAAAAAAAAAGAATTTTATTCAGGGCCTCCCTGGTGGCGCAGGTGGTTGAGCAGAGCTGTGAAGTTGTCCGCAGCCTCTGCAGCACGTGTTCGATCCCAGTTGGCCTGGGAGATACCCACATGGTGCAGCAGACCTCTCCTGTCTCACCACTGCCCCTCCTCAGCAGTGTATTTCCATCAGTCTGCCTGTTCTGTTCCCTGCTCTGTCTCTGGTGAATCCTCTCACCCCCCCGCACATCTGGTCTGCACCCCGGTTCTTATATGCATAAGTAAATAAATCTTAAAAAAAAAAAAAAGAATTTTATTCATTAAGACCCCATTTGGCGCACAAAATAACACCTGAATAAGTGCCGATAGGCTAATCATCTCATGGGATTGCTCAAAATTGTAAAGATGTCAACTTTCATGAAGTTAATTAGTATGCAAACTTACTACAGTTCCAATCAAAAGTCTATCTAGACCCTTTATACCACAAAACTAATACACAAGAATAAAAAGCTTGTCCATAAATAACTAATTTTGCAGAGGAATACAGTGATGCTGGCAAAGGATTGGGGAGGAATCCCTCATTCTGCTAGGTATTGAAACATTCAATTAAGTCAAGTAAGAAAAGCAGCGAGGTAATGCAGGCACAAATAGATGGAAGCTAGAGATTGAGTACACAACAAAGGATTCAAGTTTATATGCAACTGGATATATGATATAGGTAATACCACAAATGGGATTGTTTGTAGGGGAAAACTGCCTGCCTCGGAAATAAAGTAGGATCCCTATCTTATATACAGAAGTGAACTCCAGATAGATTCAAGGCTTAAGGTTACTACGTTAAACTATAATGCTAAAGGGCGAAAACATGGGAGACTTTTTGTCATTTTGGAATGAGAAAAAACTTCTAAAATGTAAATATGACTACAAATCACACGACAAAGCAAGATCTGACTATGTCAAAGTTAAGGATTTTGATTCAACAAAGTATGTCATAGACAAAATTGAAAAAATTTTGAACAAATAACAACATGGACATGAGAGCTTGGGTCTGAATCCCAGTTCTACCCCTTACTGGCTTGTTACTTTGAGCAAGTAACTTAACCTACCTGGTTAACTTTTCCCATTTGCAGAGACAGGACCCAAACAATCCTGTCCCTCCCTTAAGTGGTGCAATTCCTTTCATCAAGAGGGGTGCCCTGACTGCTTTGACCAGTAGGTCAGTGCTGCTCCAGGCTTTAAGCAGAGTGGAAGCTTCTTCCTTCCAGGCCTCCAGAGTCTCTGTGGAAAGTGAGGGACTTTTGAAACCGAGATGCCAAATGAGTCAGGCCAGAGGAAGGAGCACCTGGGCCTGTGGCTGCCTGAGATACCTGAATGCAACCAGAAGAGGCACTGCCCAGCTGAGCCCTTGGCAATCCATGTAGTGAAATAAAAATGATTGTTTTTAGACCCCCCTAAGTTTGGGGGGTGGATTGTTAAGCAGCAGCAGATGAGGTGGTCGTGAAGATTGAAGGTGGCACTGTTCAAAATGCTGAATAGCACTTGGCTCATAGGAAGTAGCTGGCCCTCTGTTCATGTTTGCGGAATAAAATAGAACAGGGACCTGTATAGGCTGATGGTGATAGAAACTGTGTGAGGAAGTAGAATGTATGATTAACTTGATTCTTTGCACCTGGTGTCTACAAGTAGGCTAATAAAACCCCTGATAGGGTCCATACTGTCATTTCCTAATAGGATAACTGTGGCCTCAGCAGATAAAAAGTGTGTCCAAAAAGGAATTCTCCAAACAAAGCAAGGCCCTCCGAGTCATTCTTGCTCTATGTAGTCTTGTACACAGAATTTAGAGCCTCACAGAAGGCACAAGATGCATGAGTTCAGTGACTCACGAGTCCTTCATTTCTGGGAACACAGACAACTGATGGGCTATATTTGTTTTTCTCTGTAGCACCAGATCCAGAACTAGCAATTAAAAAAAAAAATCTGTGATGAATTTTCAATTAGCCATAGGCTCCAGTATCAGAAAATGCAAGGAAAATTAAATCTACACATAATTCAAAGATTTCAATCAAGTCAGTAATTTCAGCCTCCAGAAGGGTCTCTTGCAGTTCTTTTTAGTCCCAAACACAGTGTGCCCAGTAAGTGTCTGTTATTTAAAATTAATCCCTCTTCTTTTTGAAAAGGACTTAAAACCACTTGTTTATGGTCCTTCAAATCAGTTATCAAAGTCATTTGTGAAAACCCAGGCTAGGGCAAAATAACCCACACATTAGCAATAATCCCTTCCAACAGATGAGACGGGCTGGGGGAAGATACCGCTGTTCATTCATGAGTAGCGGGGAGCAAAGCCTTATAGATATTACAGGGACTGAGGTAAATATCATCCCTGTTTTGCAGAGGCAGAAAGGCACAGATAGGTGGGGTTGCTTGTTCACAATCCACAGCTGGGACACCACAGAGCCAGCATTCAAACCCAGGTAGCTGGTTCTCTCAGGTTGTCGCACAGGGAAGCAAAGAACTGAATCACCCCACGACTAAAGAGTAAAGGAAAGGCAGTATGTCCCAAAGCCAAATCCCAGACACCGAGCGTTGTTTTAAATCCAGAAAATAAAAAAACCGGACTGCAGCACAGCCACGTTTTTCCGTAGAGCTGACACATTCTGGAGAGCATCACTACCTAGAGTGCACTAACCACGACTCCAGCCTTCACGAGCCCGAGCCCGGCCTCCGCAGCACCAGCCCTCCCACCAGCAGCCTGCTGGTCTGTACTCCCTGTGCTTGCTGGAGGATGGCATCCAGCCAGCTCCATCCTTTCTCCCCACCTCTCATCAGAAATCCTGAACCCCATCTCTACCAGCTGGCCCACCTGGCATCCCACTTAAGGTAAGAAATCACAACTCTACCTTTCTTGTCCAGCACTGGGGCAACAAATGGGTGACTGATCTTCAGATAGTTTCTGGAAACACTCTGGATTAAAGTGAAACAGCAGCAACGTGCCGATTACCTTTCCCAGATGTCTTTCCTCTGCAGATTCTTTCGGCCTGGGGACACTCAGTGATGAGGGTGGGCTGAAGACGATGTCTGGTCTGCTCTGGAAGACGATGCTGCTCTGGAAGCCGTGTGGCATGTCAGGGCCAAGACGGAGCTGGAGCTGGAGCTGCCGGAAGCCATTGCCCAAGGGGAGCACAGGGGCCCTGGGAGGAGAAGGGCCTCTAGCTGGCCTCTCACCAAAGTGCCAGCAGCTGGTTGCTGTTTCACTTCATCCTCTCCTGGGGCTCCTCCATGCCCACAGATGAGTTACTTCCACTGAAAATGAAATGACTGTTGCTACAGCCCAGCTGAAAGTGATACTCCACAACACTCAGGGCATGGGGAAGGGAGACTAGGACACGAAAGACAGGTACAAGTAACTTCCAAGTCATGCATTTATTTCTCCTTAATTGGATTTTACAGCTTGTTTGAGCTTCTGCTTAGTTCTCCAAGGAGCTGTAGAGTTTGTGTGATCGCTCTGTGTCCTCTGCTCTTCCCCCAAATGGGAACAAGCAGAAACACAGGTACACATGGGACAATGAGAACACACTGGACTTGTGCCAGTTGTCAGTATCTCTCCTCTAACCCCCCTGCCTGTGGCTTCATTGTGACACGTTTGTCTCTACTGAATATTCTCAATAAAAACGGCCAGGAGAGGTGATTAAGGAGTACAGACAAGAGGACTGTGTAAGAATTGGTGGAAGGGAGGTAGTGAACCACCAGGATCCTTTACCTAGCCCCTATTATTTCCTTTCCTTCACTCTGATCTTTCAAAAAGAAAGAAGGCAATAACAAACACAAGGCACCTTTGTGCCAGTTGCCAGCCCTCCCTCCAGGTAGATGCTGCAAGGCTTGGTGAATGAGGCAGAGCCTGGGCTGCAGCCCTCTGGCCTCTTGGCTGGTGCCTTGTGCATCCGCTGCACTTCCCTAGGTGCTGCTACCATGAACAACCTCAAGGTTAAGGGGTCAAAAGGGGATGCAGTGTCTGAGAACTTTCAGAATCCCAGGTGGGTCCTGGTGCTGACAGAACTCAGTATCTCTGAGTCGGTCACCTGGGGAGGGAGGCACTGATGCTGCTCTTGGCTGTCAGGAACGTCCAGCCCACCACTCCACGTTCAACCCAACTTCCTATATTTGGACTCTGCCTTATTTCCCAGAGCCAGGATGCAAACGAAGGGAAAGAGGCGTGGCGCAGGCACAGACTCAGACTAATTTTAAGCACTAAAGACCTGTTGACTCTTGATATTTAGTGTCCTATTTCATCTCATTGAACCAAGATAGGGAGACTTCTTTGTAGTCAAGCTCAACAGGAAGTGATCCTGGGAATCTGTTGCTTTCTTACTCCGTGGAGGAAGCAGAGAGAAGGGATATGGACTCTCATGAATGTTCCTGCCACTCGTTTGAGAGGTGTCACCGGCTAACCTGACAGCTCAGGGACCAATGCAGGGTAGACACCATTTATCAAATATATCACAGGGCTGAGATTCAGCAGCCACCAAGTTGGACTCTTGGCGCTGGAAATTTAATGTGTGACAGCTGCGTGCGGCCAGTGGTGTCCAGCATTTTAAAAAGGTCAATTAAGAAACGGTTGATGGTGGTGCAGCTAATGACAGCTCAGAGAGGGGAGCGGGGCCCAGTAAACAGAAGGGCTGAGATGTATATTACTGGAATTGAAGTGTCGAAGTGAAGCGTGGTGGGGAGGAAATCTATTGTCACAGGCCATAAAGCACATCTGAGTTTTGCAGCGTACAGCAGTACAGCTGTTTCCCTCCCCAGGCAGCGTGGGGCGCAGTCTGTGAATGGAGGGCTCAGCAGACAAAGGCGACACCTGCGTCAGCTTTATCAATCTGCAGACAAAAATCATCACCCTGCTCACTGCCTGTTTCCACTTGGGGAGCATAAGGCAGACGCTAGAGTGGTATCCAGAATGTGGGTCAAGTTCTAGAAATCCGTATTTTAAGCACTCCCCAAAGCCTTCTCCTCCCAGCGTGTGTGGGTGGGCAGGGGGACAGCAGAAGCCTAAACGCCAGCCTAAGCAAGTGCTTTCCTCAGACGACACATCTGCTGCCCTGCTTCTGTGGACATGCAAAACCAGGGTACAGCTAGACCCCTTACACTGTGATGGATAAAAGAGGGGCATGAAGCCTTACAAAAAATCCATTTCAGTCTCTGATAGAATTGGCTCCAGGGTGGGGAAAGGCACTGTGTGGGGCTCGTTGTGTTTTTTTTTTTTTTTGTTTTGTTTTGTTTTGTTTGAAAATCAGACAAAAGGGTCTCAGATTGCTAGGACAGGCTCTTTTTGGCCACATCTACCTGTCAAGCTAGAAATTCAATAGCGCAATGGAAATGCTAATTGAAATGCAAAACAGGTCCAGGGTTCCTAGAAATGTCTAATGATCCTCCAATTCATTGTGAATGCAGAATTAAGATATACACTAACTGAGACAGCAGGAGTAAGAACACCAACCTTTTGGCTTTCGCTTTTTTTTTTCCTTCTTTTTCGAACCTACTTTGGGAAACTTCACAGTCTAAAAGAGAAAAAAGTATTGCAATCAATGGGGTTTGTCTTTCACACACTGGATATTTATTATTAGAAAATAGCTTCTATCAGCTGTCAGTACCAAACAAGTTGAAAGGAGCGTGCATCTCACCATAATTTATTTTTCCTTAATGAAATTTAAGTAAACAGCTCACTATGGGGAGAGCTGCCACGCCTTTTTTCCCTTTAAAAACTGAAAAACTAAATGAAATTCAGTATAAAATCTCTTTTAAACATGACTTATTCTGCTGCTGCTATGCTGTTTCTTTGAGTAAGGGACATGAAAGACATGAAAAAGACCACTGGAGTTATCAAATCATCCCAGAGAATCTGCAGTGGAAACCAGGAAGCAAATAAACTAACCCAAACCAAACCCGTCCAAACCAAGAAACCAGTTTTAACATTGGCTTTTCGATTTTGAATATCATCTAAGTTTAATATATATATATATATTTGAAATAGTAATAAAAAAGGAAGAGTTGAATTGCATCCTTAGCAGGACAACCTTCCTCATGTTAAAGAGGTGTTCAGAAAATTCCATACAGTATCTGCTAAATAAACATGTTTGGCAGCTTAGCAAATATCATATGATTGCAGCATCCATGATTTGAAGTAAAACAGCATTTGCTTTCTTCTGGCAGGGTTCGTTGTTCTGAGTGATGTGCTAATGTGGCTCTAGATGTTCGCAGACCCATGGGCTTCGGTGAGGGTTTGGGGGTGGCTCAGTGCATGGCCCCAGTGCAGAAACTTCCAAACCCTCAACAACGAATCAACCAACCAAGTACACAAACATCAAACAATTGTCTCCTTTGAGTTCCTCTTGACAGAATGGAGGCCCAGCAAGGACTGCTGGTTAGAAGGTACGTTGACAGACTTTGGAATGAGGAGAATCACCCTCTGATTGGTCCGACGCCATTCATTGTACAATCGACAGTGGTACCTAAATGACACCTGGGGTTAGGAGAGGGAAAATAAGGGAAGGTTTCAGATGAGCAGAAGCTAATAATCCAAGAAACAAATAAGTCATTTAAAACAGCTCCAAACAACAGGGCAAGAACTCTGGGCACTACAGCTCCAGCAAGCCGCTTAGTATAGACAGGGAGATTGGGCACCAACGAGAGGACCCACGTGTGAACAATGCCCAGGGTTCCCGGGGTAGCATCCTTTATTCCTTCTCATATTGAGTAAAATCAGGCTGTGACTAGAAAATGAGGCTCATTCAGAAGATGCATTTATTTTGGGGGTAGCGTTTGGGCAACGCTTTTCAATAAAATATAAACTGTGCAGGCTGGCTGGGGAGAAATGGGTTGGAGATAACTGGCACCCTGTCCAGTTGTGGGTCCTGGGCAATGTGCTTTTCTGGTCCCACAGATTCTTTGCTAAGTAAGAGAGACACTGAGTCTGATAAAGGGTTATACCCTTCACACCGTGACAAGTAAAGCCCTTACGACTATAGGTAGTGGCGCCCATGAACTCCAGCTCCAGCATCCTAGGATTTCCAGTGGGCACCACCACCCCTGGTGAGTTCTTCTTGAGACTCAGCTGGCCAGCTGCAACTTCCGAGGGTGCCCACAGTGCTTTGTGCCTGTCTCTTCACTGTACCTCAGTGCACCTGCTTTCCTCTCATTCCCCCTCTGGAAGCAGGACTTGTGTGATATTCATCTTGGCCTGCCCAGCACCTATCACAGTGCCTGGCACTTAGGAAGTTACTCAGCAGTGTTTGCCGAGTGAATCACTGAGTGAGTAAACATACTACACTTCTGACTGCAACATGGCTTTGGACTTAGATCTCTCTTACATAACACATGATGGCCCAGGCAGTAAACTGAGGATCAACTGTGATGTAACTGTGCCTGAAAGGTGCTTTTTTTCATGCAGAGCCTGGAACAAGCCACACCTGTCACTTGTTTTCGAGAAGATGGGCATAAAGTTTTAATGGACTCCTCAGGAAATTCAGTCTGCATTTTTGAGGATGTATAAACTCCCTTTAAAAATGGGTGTAGGTTCCGGTGTGAGTGCATCCAGGTGACTAGGGAAATGCCCAGCAGCTTAGGCTGACAGATGATCTAGGTATTGGCTGTTTAATCATCTGGGTGGGTGGGCTGTATTGACCCCAGGACAGGGTCCATGGTGTTCAGACAGTGGGCTGACTGATGGCTTGGGCTCAGCATTTCGGAAAATAGAAGAGAGTGCAGACACTTTTTTTGAAAAGGGCTTGTTAGTCTTCATGGCAGGATCATGAAATTCAAGGCCACTCGCTCAAATTTCCAAGACTAGAAAGCAGATGCCGCAGGCTGAGTGCCAGAGAAATTTGGGTATGAAAATATAAGCTTTTTAACTCACACAGATGTGCTTTTCTCCAGAAGGCCCTGAACATGCCAAATGTGGATCAGGGTTTTTTGTGATGCTTTTTTTTTCCCCCTTTCCTTTTTTTTTTAAAGCTTGACTCTCATCTATTCTGTCCTGCTGCTGCTTGGTGATACTCACGAATGTAAGAGAGGCAGGTTGGAAAGCCTGCTGTTCAGGACTGAGGGCAGGGGAGAGGTAGAACACAGACAAGTACTAATGAAGAGCTTTGGCACTACAAAAGTCTGGAATCTGGAAATGTCACAGGAAAGCTGCATTTCAGATCAAGAGTCCCTTCGTCCATGATGGTCAAGGGTGGTGGGTGCACAGTGTTAGTAAGAGAAGCAGCTGTGGGCGCATGTGAGCAGCACCTTCTTGTACAGTGTGGAGAGCAGGCTGCAGGCTCTGGGGCCAGGTGCTGGGGCGTGAACCACCTCTTCACCTAATGGCTCTGTGGCTTTCAGAGGGCTATTTACTGGTCCCAAGCTTTGTTTCCTTGTTTGTAAAATGCAAGTAATGGTATCTGCATAAAAAATGCATAAAAACTACTTAGCACAGTGCCTTGCACACATGTTAGTGCTCTTGACCTGTTAGTTTTGACATGTTTAATATGGGCAAGAAGATGATAATTTTATATGAAAATCTGGGTGGAAAGGGGGTTGCGCTGTTTCCGCACAACCTTGCTCTCTGTGTGGTGGTAGCCCAGCGGCCGCAGGCTGCATCACTGGGGAGCTTGTTAAAGTATCAGAATTCGGGGCTCCACCCAGACCTAAGGAATCGGAGCGTGCATTTTAACAAGATCTCCAGGTGATTCGCATGACATTCAAGCCTAAGAAGCAGTGCTTCAGGAGCATGGGGAGTCAATGACTTAGCAAGGTGTCCTCCCGGCTCCTCAGTCAGGACATAAAAAATCAGCCCACTTGTTCAGACAAATAAATGAGATCTTGTTATGCATTAATCTATCTTAATTGCTGTTAACCACCACCGTCTGCAGGCAAATTCAGTCAATAAGAAGAAAGCATCATAGGAAGGTGACTTCCTATCAGGGAGAATAAAAGCACCTGGGTACAAAGTTGAAGAAGCCACAGGTTGGCAACTGCCCTGGGTTAAATGCTGGCTTGCATTGCTCAGGTTGCTAAGACCCTCCTTCCCTGCAGGGGAACAGCACAGATAAAAAGGAGGGTTGATTAAGAGAAATTAAGAGGCACTATGGGGAAACAAACAACACAAGCCAAAAAAGAAGCTGTAGGAATCATATCGCTGGGAACTTTGTTTAGATATTTCTTAAACTTGTGAGGACAGAGGAGAAAGAACATAGGACCACCGTTGTAACAAACACAGGCTGGGCTTCTTGAAGTGAATTCGTTTATTCATCCAAAGGGTATGTTTTAATCTTCTCCAGTAGGCATGTTTAATAGACGGTTGTGGCCACACAGAATGGCACAAGAGGAGTTGGAAAATATTAACCTCTACCTCTCCCCATCAAGGAGGTGACAGGTTGTGGTGGAAGATTTGCTGTAAAGTCACAGCAGGCTCTGGGAAATCTCATTATTTAATTTTATCCTGCCCTTTCTTTCTGGAGGTTATGGTGCCACTGAAGCACATTAATGGGGCCAGGGCTTTGTAAGTTGCCTTCCCAGAAATGGGCCCAACTCACTCATCTCTGATTGCACACGCCAGTGAGAAATGCCAATGGTGATCACACTCAAGCTGCTGAAGCTGTCTGGGGAGCTGTCTAAACCAGCCCCTCAGAGAATCTGGTTGGGATAAGTGTTCTACTGGAGTATTCCCCTTTTATAACAAGAATTTAAATGATTAACCCAAAGGACTGGGAGTCAGCTAGAGGAACTGATCATTTACTCATTTCAAGCTATGATTTAACCAGTTGCTGTGCTAGATGCTGATTTTCTCGATGACACAGTGAACGGAAGGACTTCCCGGGAAACCGGCACCAGAGAACTCCAATTCTCCCATCTCTAAACTGGGGCCAATTTCTTAACATTTAACATGGACTCAGTTCTCAGCCAGCTCTCATGGCTGTCTATGCTTGGACTTCAAACGGTTTGTGATGTGGACAGGTTTCTGGTACACCTTTAGGCTCTCAGGAGGAGATGGCTGAGGCCTTAGCCTCCTGGGTGCCAGACACTTATGTTTTCACACAGCAGGACTCCCTGATTTTGCATCAAGACAGGGTCCTTGTGGCCACATCTTGAGGCTGCAGCACAGGCTCCATGTCCCTCAGTACAGAGCCACTGAGGCCCTTCCAGGAGGGCACCTCTGAGGATACAGCTGGGACTGACACTGTGTTTATCTTAGTCATTTTCACAGCATATTCTCTTTAAGCTTGACAGCTTGTTTACAATGCGTTTCTGCCGTAGGGCAGTTTCCAAGTGCTGTCAGCTTTGAGTTACAGCTCTGGCCGGGGTGCTCAGTATAGCATTTATCTGGGAAGGAGTTAGGCTACATTCAGTAACCTAACTGACGCCACCACAGCAAGTTTTTCACACCAGTCAAAGGGGAGGTGTACCCTACTTTCCCTCCAGGCACTCTGTGTTTTCTAGAGGGCTGGGGGGCAGGCAGAGTGGGGGAGCTGGGCAGTCACAGGAAGAGAGGCCCTGCCAGTGCTAGGTGCTCTGATAGATCTTCCCGATGTTATCCCACCAAATTCTCACAGAAATCCACCGACCCAGACATTATCACTGTCTCCTCCATTTTTTTTTGCATGAAAGTAAAGATGATCATAGGGTTAGTTAAGTACGCTGCTTGAAGCTATTGGGATGTCCACAGCTGTACCCTGTCCACAGCTATTAATTAAGATGCTAAATCTTGGGTTTAAACACAGGTTCTTAGGATTCTAAGTGTAAGGGCTTTTTACTGTGCAAAAACTGCCTCTCAAAAAATATTTCAGGAATGAAATGTTTTATTACTCTCTTGAAAAAGCCTACTCAGGTAGGTGCCTTTCCTACTGAAACCTTCCTTTCAACTGAGATGGGATATAAAATGGGGTCATTTTTTTTACCTAAGTAATCTGTTTCTTTTGTCCCCCTTATCTCCACCCTTTTCAAAGTAGGTTTTCCAAAAGGCCTTAAATTGATTTGAAAGTCCAAAATCTGGATTTACACCTTCACCTTAGCAATTCTTCTAGGAAAAAAGCCAACTAGTAAACTGTAAACTTGGTAAAAACTCATACTTACTATTATTTTCCAAAGTATTTCTCCTGTACGCTTTGATTTCAAGCTCATAACACCAGAAAGTTGGCAGGATGGCAATTACTACCACCCCAACTTTTCAGGGGAGGACACAGAGGCTCGGAGACATAAAAGACTTTAGAAGGTGCTAGTTAGATTATTAATTCTTTTTTTTGCTACCCCTTCTCCCATCACAATGACCTTTTCATTTCTGAGTGAGCTTTGCTGTTTGATTCACAATCAATCAGAACACACTGTGGAAGCGTAGACTTTTAAAGGAGGTAACAGTGATAGGGGGAAAAGGATGTCCTAAAGCTGATTCGATACAGGCTTCGTGGACTCCACCCCCCACCCCAGGCCAAAGCCAAAAGACATTGGGAACTCCAAATCCCATCACCACCAAAGGGAAGGTTGCTGGGACCTGAGGGTGGGGTCAAGCAGCCAGGTTTGGTATAAAACCAGACACGTGGGCTTTGGGGGGAGCGGGGGGTTCCCTTTTTGGCTCTCCACCAGCTCGCAGCGCTCGGCCAGCTCTGAGAGTGCCTTTGGGTTTCCAGGTCAGCGGATCGGGTAGGACGCATTAAAGACTTTATTTCCCTATTTTCTCCCTGAGTTGTACATTTCCTCATTTCCCCGTCCCTTGTAAATAAACCTTTTATTAACCTTTTGTGTGTGCCTGTAGTGGAGTATTAATAAGTCCCTTTTAAGCGCGCGGGTGAGGACCCACAGCCAGGCAACCCATTTTATATCAGGGCTGCTCCGTAACAATAGTACTTTTGCTTGGGTGCTTCATTAGGCCTAACTAGCCAGCAGACTCAAAGTCTGCACTGTGGCACACTCTCTATTTACCAAGGCTAAAGTCATGTCCCTCTTATTGAGGCTGAAATAGGTCCCCCACTTACTGTCTGAAAACTCTCATCTGAGGGAAAGGAACAGAACCAGAAGACCCATGCCATGAGCAAGAGGGAAATGAACCTGGGGGGGGGGGGTCAGGGTCACAGAATGGTAGCTGGTGGAACAGGGCTTAGGAGTCTGGGGGTGGGGGGGTGGTCAGGATCACAGAATGGCAGCTGGTGGAACAGAGTTTAGGAGACAGAGGAAGGTTTTGGGAAGTATGAACAACAGAAGCTTCCAGGTACTGATGTGGTGCTATGGGATATGGGAATGGTATGCTTTAGACAGGAAATACATATTGAATAACAATGGAACGTGCTCAGATTAGAAACCAGCAGACACAGGAGAGTGATGCCAGGAAGAAGAGGGCTTGTTTCTGAAAATATTCCAGAGGACAGTGATGTTCTGCCCTGCCAGTCCCAGAGGTAGACATAGAGAGAGATCAAACACTGTACTTTGTGGGTGTTGGCATTTGGTGCCTGAGCAATCACTGTAGCCCAGTTAGAAGACTGAAAAAACAGAGATATTTAAGAATTCTTCCTCATCTGCAGCAAGAACACTTATTGGGAAATGTTTTTCCTTTGGTGGTGGCATCCCAGTTAGATGAATTAGTGCCATTATGGGCTGCAGAGTCAATGTCTCAACACACAGAATAATCATCAGGTAAAGCGCAGCTCCTCTCAACAAAGACTTTAGGCTATGTCAGGATGTAAGAAGAAAATAACCAGCAGGAGGATTCATGATCTGTGCAGGCAGCGAGAGCTACAGTGGCCAAGTGAATCATTCATAATATACTACAATCCTGCCAAAAGCAAGGAACATAAACAAGAAAAGAAAACGCCACACCTCCTAACAGATGGAGTCGTAGACTACTAGAGGAGAGAAATGTCCAGGGTGTGTGTCCTTGACTGACGAATTCTCAGAAGCTGGGCCTTTTTCCTTAATTGATCTGCTCTATCTAGCAGCGCATGTATACACACACACACACACAAACACACACACACACAAACACACACATACATACACACTCTCTCACTCTTTCTCACCAGCATCTGAAGGTCTATCTTCTACTGGGCAGGTGAGACATGCTACAGGTAAGAGGAAAGGCTGTGCCAGCTATGAGGCTGCCAGCTCCAGCTGGCTTGAACCCCTGGGCTATGGGCCATACTTACTAGTGTCCAAAAGAGGTAAATAGTGAAGAGTGCAACAGTGAGTGCAATCAGTCCGACGGCTTCGAGCCGACTACTAAAGTGCAGGTGGTCCACGGCACCCCGCAGGCAGAGCCAGCCTGAGATGGTGGCCAGGGGGGTGATGAACAAGAAGCACACCATGTCTCCAAACAAAGTCCGCTTCTCATGCTGGGGGCCTGGGTTTCTGAGCCACTGCCAGGGAAAAAGAAGCAGAGAAAAGTCAGAAAAGTTTAAATCCCAGGATGGAGTGCAGGCATTCTACTCCAAAGTGGTCTTTGTCTTTAGAATCTGTAAAAAGGGAATTCTGACCTGTTCTGAGGTCATGAGGAAACAGTAAGAGCTCATTCCCCATTCATGGCCACTCCCCCTGAATAACTGTGATTCTGATGATAACAAGACAACAGTGATTATTAGGACAACAACAACAGTGCCCTTGCTGTAGATGGCCTGGTGGTTTTTGAAAACAGTTCAGGGTTTTTGTTATGAATTATAAAGACCCTACAATGTGTAGAGGGTAAGGAAGCTATTCTTGAAAGGGAAAAGTCGACTTACAAGAAGTTCTGACATGTGGCCAGAGTCTTCCAGTGCCTCAACACTGGCAATGGGTGCAGGAAAGGGTTAACTCAGCATGCCCCAACTGCTCAAATCCTCCATGTCCCAAGAGAAACTAGTTTTTCAGATCGATTCTCTAAGAGATGAGCTCTGAGTCCTTGTAACATTCTGCCTGATACAAGCGTTTTTGTATGCCTGAGGTCTTGGGTCACATGGTAGCAGTTCGTTTATTCTTTATGCCATGATACAATTTATATTGAACACCCATTTTTGCCTTGGGGTTCTGGATGCTGAGTAGCTAAGACCCTGGACATAACATCATATTGCTCCCTATACTGGAGCAATAAACACCCTGGACATCAATGCAACAGTGAGTGTCCTTGGTTGATAGTGCTTCACACATGTCATAAATTGTGGCTGGAAAAATGAAGCACATCTGAGTGACATTACTGGGAAGGGACATTTGGGAGCTTGTGCTTGCTTTCTTCTGGATTTTACCCCATTTACCTTTTCTCTCTGCTAATTTTAATCTATATCCTTTTGCTGTAATAAACTATATCCAGGAGTAGAGGGGTTTTTGTTTTTTTTTTTTTAAAGTCCTTTAAATTCTTTTGGTCTTGGAAACAATCCATACAGAATAAGACTCTTCTGACTACATAAACTTAGTAATGCCTCCTCTTTCACATTTTAGGACCCTGAACCTCCTACTTAGGACCATCCCTGCCATCATACTTGTGCTATCTTGACTAAACCAACTCCCCAAAAGATGAAGGAAAACTGCACGCTTGTTGAAAGCTAGAGATGTGAATTCCTACAGGATGGAAAATTTGGTTCTTGTCCTCCCACTTGGAGAATTGTTGAATGCCTGCTGAAATCTTTTCTATAATCCATTGTAGAGAAAGCTAAAGCTTACATATTGGTGTCAGTAACACAGGTGATGAGGCCTGGTGACTTTTCTTCAGATTAACATTGAAATGTCTCCATGTAATTAGACATTCCCATTTGCTATTCTGTGTAGTAATGACAGAGGCCAAGGAGTCCAGAGACAGAGTGGGGTCAAATACAGAAGATATGGTGGGTATGAGTAGATACTGGCTGACTCCATCTTCTATCTAGTCCTACCAACAAAGGGAGGCCTAATATCTTGGCCCTCAAATGAAACTACTATGGAGTGTTCAGCAGACACATCAGGTGCATGGAACAGCAATTCCCACCAAATCACTGGCAGAAGGGAAAGAAACATGACAGGGAGGCCAGAGTGGGTGACACTGACTGGAGAGGGAAGGGAAGGTCATGTTTAAGAGTGGAAGCAAGAGAGAAGAGCTGCAACAGGATAGAAGAGATGGGAGGTAAAAGGCACAGAAATTTCCTGGGAGGTGCCCTTTCTCCAGTGTTAGTCTGAGGCAAATCTTAAACACCTAAAATGTTCAATGTACCACTTCACAGTGATAATTAACCTTAAAAATGGGCCGAGATGCTGACAAGTCAGCCATAGCTCAGAAGTTGACCTGAATAAATATTAAAAAATAGATAATGGGGGGGCCTCCCCAGTGGCGCAGCGGTTGAGCGCTGGGCTGCGAAGCTGCCCACAGCCTCTGCAGTGTCAGTTCAATCCTGGGCTGGCCGGCGAGGGTCCCTTATGGCGCGCAGACCTCTCCTGCTGCCCGCTGCTCCCCTCAGCAGTGTCCTCCATTTGTCTGCCTGTTCTGCTCCCCACTCTGGCTCTGGTGAATTCTCTCACCATCCCGCAGTTGTGACTGTACCCAGTGCTTGTATGAATAAATAAATAAATCTTTTAAAAAAATAGATAATAGGGGAGTTGTCTGTGACTATAACTATAACCTATAAACATTTAATATAAATATTAAAAAGACCACATGCAAATGATATCAACCCTGTCTGTCATGTGTTAAAATGCTATCTCAGGCATCTCAGCAACTTCAAAGAAATTGGAGGAGCTCCTATTATAATTTTCTTGCTCAAATATTAGGAATGTTGCTATTAAGTGGAGAATAGAAATTTGCATTATTGCCCCAATTTTACGGAAACTCAGCAAGGTTAAAAGATTGTTCCAGGGCCTCCCATGGTGGGGCAGTGGTTGAGTGCTGGGTTGCGAGGCTGCCCGCAGCCTCTGCAGTGCCAGTTTGATCCCTGGCCACCGGTGAGGGTCCCACCAAAAAAAAAAAAAAAAAAAAAGAAAAGAAAAAAGATTGTTTCAGGTGATTCACAGGTAAGAGGATATGAATATTTCATTCTTATCCAGATGCTCTATCAGTAAAATTATTAAAAATTAAAATTGCAAGTCATTCAGAAATCCAGATTCTTCAACAATGGTCATCAAAATGCAACTCCCCTTACAGTTTAGATTTTCCCTGGAACCATATCAGGGAGGTCCTCCTACTTTTATTTGTACCCCCACTTAGTGAAATGTAGTAAGCTCTCAGTAGATACACCACAGATGTGCACAGACATGCTGATCTCATTGGCTAAGACTTCCCTCAATTTTTCTTTTTAGCTGAGAAATTCTGAATATACTTTATTAAAACTAATTTAGTACTGTACTTATCTATGTGGCCCTTGACATTACCCACTGAAATGACACAGGTATGGGAGGATGTAATTATGAATCACCACTTACTTCTGTCTGATGTAAAATAAATTGTGAGGCAAACTAGAAATTACCATTGCTTGTTCCCATTTCTTAATTATTTTTTGAATTCCAATCTTCCTGAAAAATTTCCAGGCCATTTTATAATGTCTATGGTCACCCAATACCCACATTTCCCCTTAACATTTTTTGGGCAGGGAAGGGCTCAACTTACAGTTTGTACAGTTTGCTGGTGGTCACATTTAGGTCTGAAGTTTTCTTTAATAAGATACTAATATAGATACAATTAAGTTAAAATCTGTGACTTTTTCAGAACTTTGAGTGTTACTTAGCTCTTATAAAAACACAGGTCCTGTGAAGAACAGTGGCAATAACTTTAATTGAGAAAAAAATCATCCCGTGCTATAGACAGTACCTCTCCCAAAGGGCCCAAATATACTGACACAGGATACTCATATAAGAAGAGTTCATAACAGAAAATTTGAATATAGCTCAAATTTCTTTTTTTAATTTCTATTTTTATTTTTTTAGATTTTTAAATTATTTAAAAATTTTTTTAATATCATTTTTCATTTTTAAGCAACATTTGCTTCTCCCCACCCCCTCAGGTGTAGTCCCCATAGAGTTTCCTTCCCCAATGCACCCGTGCACCATCACCTCAGTCCCCTGTGCTCCTCCCTCCCTCCCTCCGATCCCTCTCCCTCCACTGCAGGATGTCTCTGATTTATAACTGTTTGTTTTTGCTTTGTTGTGTTTTATACTGTTATTATTTTTTTACCCTGATGTCTTATTTGGTTCCCCTATGAATATAGCTCAAATTTCTAGTGATGGGGACTGTGTAATAAATTATGGGATTAACTTTAAATAAAATACAATGCAGAATTTCAAATGATCATGTGCAGTTTGTGTTTATGGACACGATGTACTGCTGAATTAAAAAAGAATTCTATAGGACAGAATATATAGTATGATCCTGTGTGTAATGATATGTTGACACATATACAGACATTTACACTTAAAAGGATTAAGTACATTCACATAGATAAAAACTAGAAGGCTATCCAGAAAAGTAGTAGCTATTCTTAGTAGTAGAATAATGTGTGATCTTTAATTTTCTTTGTACAGAAATTTTCTTGCTTTTCTAAAATGAACGTGGATTGTTTTGTATATGTTAGCTGTGTACTAAACATCTAGGAAGACACACAGAGTGAGAGATGGGGAGATAAGGGATGGGGGAGGAAGGTTGCCTAGCTTGGGTGTAGAAACTATGGCAGTAAAAAATCTATAGGTATGTCTTGAGTAAGCTTAGTGCTGCAAGTTTGGAATATATGATGCAATATCTCACTGAGTCTTCAAATTTTATGAAGCGGATGCTAACATTATCCCTATTTTATAAGTATAGTCACCTGGGATCAGAGAGGTTAGTAACTCACCCGAGGAAAGATACAGCAAGAGAGAATTAAACATGGGATTCAAACCAACCTGACTTTACTTTTCCTTGCTGCACAGATTTACATTTTCTTTCTGTACCAAATCGTGTCTCTATGTGTGTGCATACTAGATTTTTGCAAGCTTTCAGCGATGTAGGATATAAGTCCTACTGTTTTATTCAGTACATCATGTAGGTGAACGGTTGGCTGGCCAGGATGTTATCATGGTAGTTTTACAAAATATTCTTAGGTTGGAGTTCTGTTCTGTTAATTCCTTTACCAAAACACAATGAGGTCCAATTTCTGGGTGTTTAATCTTAGCTATGTTATCATGTATTTTGGTTTAATTTATAATAGACAAAAGATTGGTCTCAATTATTATTCATTTACATTTCTAGCTCTTGCATGTCTTCTACCTCTCTTAGGAGTTACACTTATTATACATACAGTACTACACCTCAATTGTTCTTGTTAGTGTAAGGAATAAGTAATTTACTTATCATTATTGCCCTGGCATATGGTACCAATTAATTTATCTTGCCACTTGTGGACAGCTTGTGCAGCTAAAATACCATTCTTGAAGAGTTTCTAGTTTAACTTTA